GTACATTTTTCTTACCCTCAGATATCATTCCTACATAGCATTATCTTACCCACCTTTCACTACTCCCATATATCTAATCCTCCGTCGATAAACCCCTCGTTCTTAAAACCCAACCCTCTGACACCTCAGCTTTATATCCTAATACATTCCACCTACACACCTCTTTTGATTCATTCAACACCCCAACACCTCACTAACATCTCACCCCATCTTGCTACCCCATCAACCTTAAATACCCCATCACCACGTACCTTTATAAAGCATGTCAATAGCTATATAAATTTACACACCCTCTGAAACCACCATTAAAACAAAATTTAACGACCTTATCAACACCTAAGTACGGAGTGGTCTAGCGGTAGAGAGCTAGACTGCTAACCCGTAATACGGGTTCTAGTCAGTAGACCGTCTCTGATTACACCCAGCTCCAATGAGTACCTAACGTCCATTACGGAAAGTATAGACGGCTGGGCATAGTGCTGACCACACTATCCCTTCAGTTACAGAAACAAGAAAACTCTACTTCACTTGCCCCATAGATCGTCAGGTTTAGAAGGGGAACTTTACTTTTATCACTACCTATAAAAACTACCTTCTGTATTGAAAAAAAAACTATAACACATTAGTACTAACACCCCCCCCCCCTTTCTTCCAACCCTTGCTTGATTTTCATTACATTCAACCTTGGCTTAAACTGTCAACAATAAACATAAGAACTTGCGATAAATATTCAACACTTCTGGAATTCCGTGCTGTTCACGACCGTCTACATTTGATCCCCTAAACTCCAGCCAGGCCGATAAAATATCCCTGAGAAAAGTTCGTACTTGTACTCTATTCTAGGTCTCACAAGACCACCTGACTCATTGGATCGATTTTTAAAAAAAAATATCGATTTATTTCGAAGATTGAGTATCGTGTAATTCTCCGTGCAAGGCGTTGGTTTTATTTACTCTTGTATTAATCGAACATGAAAGCCAGTTTTTTAATCAATGATTGGGGTCGTGGGTGCAATCAACTTCAATAAGCTTTGAAAAAATAAAATTTGTGTATTATAAAATATCAAATAAAAAGCTACCAAAAGCTTATAGAAAGTATAAGAGTAAAAATGTAATTTTCTAGAAGACAATCAACTTCAATAAGCAATTCCCAAACTTCAATGTGTTATAAAAATATTAGAAAAAAAAAATACCATAATCTTTTAGAAAGTAAAAAAAAAGTATTCGTCTTTCTACAACTACCAATGGAGTGCTCTGTAAACTCTGGCACGATGTAGGTAACTGTATACTAAAAGTGTTGGTTAAAGCGTCTATCAGGTTACTAGTAGTGATTTGATTTTAACCAAGCCTAGCGCAAATACTTGCAACCGGCTGGGTAGTACAACGATTGTATCAAATTCAGTGGATCTTAATCTGGGTTCTATCGTACCCCATGGGTTTGGTGAGTCAGGAGGGGTTCGGCGGAGGTTAAAACACATACTCGACTCATATGATTCACGATAGGATTTTGTCAATCCGGACAACATTACTACTTGGAAGCGTTCGGTGAATGCACACATGAAACTGGTGGGATTCGGTACCCCCAAAATGTTGAGAACCCCTGATCTAAGCGATGTTTAGTGATAAAATAACCGCTGAGAATTAGTGGGATTAGAAGAGGGGATTATCAATGGGGATCAGGATTAGCATCGAGGGGGTATCATTTATATTTATAGTTATTAACGTGATTTGCAGTGCGTTTTATAATTTGAGATTATCAAGAAGAAATATCAATGGGATATATCATTGGGAATCATCAATTTGATTTATAAGTTGTAGAATTATCAGTGGGAATTATCATTCAGTCTAAAAAAATATTGCAAAATCTCACGATGAATCTCAATATGAATTACCTTTATGTCTTATAATATGTTTTTAGCGCTGTCTAGCTGCAGTTATATGTTTTGAATGTGTTTGCATCAGTGGCGTAGGCATGGGGGGGGGTTGGGGGGGGGGGTACATAGACCCCTCGGAATATATATAAAAAGTATGAGGGGGGGGGGGAGCAAATCGAAAGTTTGAGGGGGGGGTTGCAAATCGAAAGTTTGTTTGGGGGGGGGGTGCAAATCGAAAGTTGAGGGGGTGCAAATCAAAAGTTTGAGGGGGGGGGTGCAAATCGAAAGTTTGAGGGGGAGTGGGGTGAAAATCGAAAGTTTGTCCGCGGGTAAAAATTGGAACCCCCCCCGCTCCCCTTGAGACGATCCTGGCTACGCCACTGGTTTGCATCACTATCTCTAAAAAATATTTTAAGTGTTCACTAGTCCGTGTTTGTGTGTATATAAGGTAACACACCTACACACCTATTTTCTCCTCCCATATTTACTTCTACAGAAAAAAACAAAACCAAGCCAAATCGACCACACACATCCAATTATTCCAACACTGGCATCAATATCTTGCTAGAAAATCTATCGAACGAAAATAAAATCGATTAAAAAACTAATTTTCCACATCGATTTTAAAACAAGCCTAGGGAACAACACAAGAAAGACCGTGTTGCATAACTCAATAATTAAAACTCGCGCATAAATTACGGGTCGTGTTGATAACTGACACCCTTTGTCGTCGAGGCTAAATGCTTACGTCACAACAAACATGGCTGACTGGTTTCCGTGACGCGATCAATAGTTTAAACAAAAGTGAACGAACACATTTGTATACATTTGCTACCGGATGAATGCTATCTTTTTTTAAAACTTTAATGAAGCATTGATCGGAACAAAAGTAATGGAAGAATAAGTTCGTATAAACTAAGGCTAACGATATATGTGTAGAGGGAATGGCTGAATTTGAAACCAAATAGAAAGTTGCTTTAATCAAATTTTATCCCGATGGCTTCAGATGTCAATTATAATATCGTTGCATTTTAAGCGAAATACCAATGTAACCGTGCAGTTGAAGTAGAGTTTATAAAACTTTACCATGAAGGCCTAGGAGAAATATCTTTTTTTTATTTTTTATTTTTTTTATCTCTGTTTTAACATGTTTGCTGTAATGAAATATGATGCCTCCAAATTTTCATTTAAACTAGATAGTTTTAAATAAATTGCAACAAGTTCGAGATATTCCCTAGGAGAAGGAGAAATATCAAAGCAAATATTTTGCAAGACTAAATCGACTAGATCAGGGGTCGGCAACCTGCGGCTCGCGAGCCGCATGCGGCTCTTTGGATGTCAACATGCGGCTCTCCAGCTGCTTGCACAAATATTAATAGTTATATTATTTCATTTTCAAAACTCATAACAAAATTATACTGTAAAGAAACACAAGTTTAAACATAAGAAAAAAAAACTCATCAGAGAGCAGAGAGAATGTGTGCAGTAGAAAGTATACGACAGTCACTTGGGCACCAAGTCCAGCCCCACAGCCTCGGTGTAGCGAGCCCCGTGGCAACTATTCCATGCTTGCCACTGCCCAAGTGCCGACCTTTTCGAATACCATTAATGGGGAATGTTAGCTTATTCAGAATGCATTTCTGTATCTCAGTAATCATTAATTTGGCGTGAGTGACGTAGTTTTTTAGCTATTAGCTACCTACTGTCGAGCCGGATACTGGACGGTGGGGCATGAGTTTACCCTGCGTTCATTGGGGTGGAAGATAAGCCTGGTGAGAACCAAAGGACAGAAGCGACAGATACACGGCAATCAAACCGATATTCAAGCCACTTAGTCGGAGTTTGCCGTGTTGAGGCCTGTCTGGCTAATGGGATACACTCCCTGAGCCGGTGATGTCCGTATAGAGAAAAAAAAGTCAACTGCTTCTCAAGTGGATTGGGATAGTTCTATATTTTTGTTTTTTAATTACTGATGTCATTATTCTGGCGAAATAAGTGTATGTTTTTATGTGATGAAATATTATTTCATATTTAAAGATATTTATTTTAAATAAATAATCAAATTTATTTACCTAACCCTAATCAAATAATAAAATATTGGAAAAAAACGTTAGTGGCTCTCTAAAAACTGAGAAATTTTGAAAATTGTAACATATGGTTCTTTTTTTTTTTTTTTTGCATTTATGAAGTTTAAAATCTTGGGCGACAATATAGAATTACTGTGGACGAACCATAACACTAGATAATATAAAGGAAAGAGTGGGTAAATTTTAAATAAGTCGCAAGAAATAAAAGAGCTAATGTTTTGTAGGTGAAAATTTCGTACACGAAAAAAGTCGGTGTGTAACAAAAAAAAAATCACATATATAGATGCTGTCCATTTGTTTATTGTCAATATTTTGTGTTGATGCCAGCTTTTAAATCGTGTATTGTTTTTCTTAAATCACTTGTGAAAAGTTAGGGGTAAGTAGGTAGGAGTTATCTTTCTGTACAAGATCCTTGATTTTATACAAACCCTCGGGCTGTATACAAACTTAAGGACTTTATTCAAACTAATATTTTAAAATCTAGGGGCTCACACTAACTCCATGAACTATTGCTGAATTCAGGACTTGATATATATAAATATTTGAACTTGATACAAACTGACAGTTATAATTAAGGTTTCTTAGCAACATAGGCCTATTCAGACTAGAAGTGATATGCTCTTCTCTTTAAAAAAATCTTGCCGAATTTGTATATGCAAGCTGAAATACAGAATACAAACCAAGACCGCACATTTAATTTGTAGATTTTCGTTCCCTATAAATCAAGTGGCTACCTAACTCACGTTAGGGAAAGTAAAGGCGGCTGGGCATAGTGCTAACCACACTATCTCTTCATATGCCGAGTTAACAGAATCAAGTGAACTCTACTTCACTTGCCCTATAGACCGTCAGGTTTGAAAAAGGAAACTTATAAATCAAGTAGTTTTTAACTAACAGGTCTGAAAGTTTAACATTTCTAGAGAAAGTGAGAAAGACATTGATGTACTCAAGAAAATCAAAGGTGTGTGTTGCTTGAAGCTCCGAACCTAAACGGTTCCTGAAACAAAAAAAAAATGAAAGCGAGGCTGACATTGTCTTACCTGGCAACTGTGTGTACAGGGGCTCGGGTGAAAGGTCAGTCCACCATTTGAAGGTCGGGGTGGGAAACAGGGGGAGACACTCTACTGGCCAAAATGGACCGTCGTTGTTTCTGTTGAGTAAATTAATTCATCGGAGCGTTGGTTGATCAAACGTGGAGAAATGTAAAGGGAATTGTGATAAGGTGAAAATAAGGGAGTATAACGATACACTTGTTTAGAGTTGTGGCAGAGGCGTAGCGACCCTTCCCGGCGCCGGGGAAAAAAATTCGATTTGCACCCCCCAGGAAATTTAGATTTGCACCCCCCTCAAACTTTCGATTTAACTTTCAATTTGTTTTTCCAACCCATTTTGGCGCCCCCCACTAAGGTCGGCGCCCGGGGACATATGTCCCCCCTCGCCCACCCCCCTCGCTACGCCTCTGGGCTGTGGTTTGTAATAATGTTATGTTGGGGAATGGTTTGAAATAGAGGTGCTGACATTAGAGAGATATAGGTAAAGCTTATCGGCAAGTAACTAAAAAGAAGTATGAATGCATAAAAAGAAACAAATACTACTATATTACAAGAAATATTAACTTTAATAGACATTGATGTTATAGAGTAGATAAAGAAGTTGGTATTGGATATTAGTGACAGTTGGTGACGTATTGCAGATGAGTGACCGTTGCAGATTAGTGGCAGTAAATGTTCCACTTCAGATTAGTGATCTATGATAACTCTATGCAGATTAGTGACCTACGGTGACCCACTGGACATTCGTGACTACTAAATGACCAAATGCAGATTAGTGACAGTTGGTGAAGTACTACAGATAAGGGACGGTTTGTGACGTATTGCAGATGAGTGACCGCTGCAGATTAGTGATAGTTAGTGACGTACTACAGATTAGTGACAGTTGGTGAAGTACTGCAGATTAGTGACAGTTGGTGAAGTACTGCAGATTAGTGATAGTTGGTGAAGTACTGCAGATTAGTGATAGTTAGTGACGTACTACAGATTAGTAATAGTTAGTGACGTACTACATATTAGTGACAGTGACGTACTACATATTAGTGACAGTTAGTGACGTACTACAGATAAGTGACCGCTTCAGATTAGTGGCATCAGATGACCTACTGACCTGACGACGCCATATTTGTCCATGTAGGTCCCAGCCTCGTCCAGAAACTGGATGCCGGGCGGCACGTGACCAGACTTGACGGCTTTCCTGAAGCCCTCCTTGGTGTAGAAGTGGCGGGCTTTTGGTTTGGCTCCTGTAGGTCAAAGGTTAGGTCGGGGTTATACGATCAAAACATCCCCTTATAAAAGTGATTTTAAAAAAAAAAGATGACAAATATATTCAGGACAGTGGGTCAACACTCTTAGATTTATAATCGACATTTCGAACTAATGGAACGGCGTGGCCTAGCGGTGGCCTAGAGTTCGAATCCGGGATCATTTCTGAAAAACATCACTGAGTCCACCCTACTCTGATGAATATCTAACTCACGGTATGGAAAATTAAGGCGGATGGGCTTAGTGCTGACCACATCATCCCTTCATATGCAGAGGTTAATGAAACAGATAAACTCTACTTCATCCGCCCCATGTATTTTTGTAACGAACGGGAAAATATGATTTTGAACTAAAATATTCTGTATATTTAAATTGCTCGATATGCGTTCGAGACTAATTTATTTTATTTTCATCGATCACGTTTATAACCATAAGCTGTCTTATTTGTAAGTCAGCGTTAAGGTTCATGAGTGTATTGTTTTTAAGTTACTTGGCAACTCCCGATCATAACAGAAATAAACAAGGGAAACAAATCGAGTATAGCACTGCTCAAGGGAAACAACTTAGGTATTCACGTTACCTTTTTAGCTTTCAATGCTGAATTGTTTTAGAAAATTTAACGATGTCATATGCTTATGAATGCGACTTTATAAGCGTCGTTACATTTCAAACAATGTGCTATGTTTTTAATTCAACAACATATTACATCAATTTAAAAAAAAATAAGTATAGAGTACCGAAGTCAACAATTATTATTTAAATATCGATTATACTAACGTATGTCTAGTTTATTATAGCTGGTATCGATATCGTGAAAATAAACCGACGCCTCACACAAGAATCAAGAACTGATCTATGCATCGACCACTGACCTGTTTTCTTGGTATTGACTATTTTCAAAAGTATCGATTACTAATAATTAGTATCGACTACACATTAATCTCTTGACTTCTAACTTAATTATCGATTACGCTTCATTAGTATCGATACCACACCTACACCGACTACTCACCCATGTATCGGCTGACTGAGACGCTGTAATCGTCTCGGATATTTTTGATGCCCTCGGATAAGTTGTCCAGCCCCAAAACACCTGGGTACTCGTCGTAATTTGACCTTGAAAGTTCATCACGAAACAAAAGGTCCATCTGGATAATTAAAAAAAAAAACGTTTTAATAAACAAGCTTATGCATTACTATGCACTAAAAAGTAGTAAATATTGATTTTTTTTTTAGTATAGGAATGAACCACAATTTGACTATAAAGAAGAGTGACAACATGTTAAGAAACGTAACCCAAAAAAATGGTTTCAGCGATATTTACACAGTTCTTTCCCCTAAATGAGAAATGAGAACAAATAAAAAATATCGAAATACAACTTCTTTTAAAAGAAATTCGTGGATCATTCCCCCTTTGAAAGTATAATTTAAAAGTATTGCGCACCCCAGCAACAAAATTCTTAATGTATCTAGTTCGGAGACATTAATTGGAGACAGCTATATTTGCTAAATGCAAATTAGAAATTAAATTTTAAATTATACCGCTTTGCAAATTGCTGTCCTTACTCAAAGTTTATGGAAGCAAATCCAGAAAGAAAATCGGGATGAAATCTGAGTCAACGGGCCATATGGCGGATAACATGTTGACTTGAAAACTTGGTTATGTTAGACGAAATCTACTCAACAATAAAGAATGAAGAAAAAGAAGAAAATTATTTTGCATACCGGTTTGTTTCGCTGCGATGTAAAAGACATTTCCGCGGATTCCTGTTTTTTCAGCTGCAGAGCTTTCCACCTTTTGGTTCTGAGATAGTCTCGTTCCTTCTCCGTGAGGTCGATCATCAGATGTGCGTTCAGATCTTCAATCTCTTTCTGTTTGGCCTGCTGGTTGCGTTTCTGGCACAAGATTGTCAACACATGGTTAAAATAAAGGATTGATTTGTTTATAAAGTAAGCTATTAATTTTGTTTAAATGATGGTGTCTTCAAGAAAGTAGGACTCCTAATTGTTTTCAGGTAAAATGTTACGTATATTGCAGTTTAAAGACACGTGAGAGTACTTTTTTATGTCCTATATATATATATATATATATATATATATATATATATATATATATATATATATATATATATATATAAAGTAAAGAACCATTTAATTAAGTTAAATTAGTTTAGGATTTAGCCATGGTAATGAAGAAAACACTAATTTAGATGACACCACTAAATTGGATGACAAAACTAAATTGGATGACAAAACTAAATTGAATGACAAAACTAAATTGAATGACAAAACTAACTTGAATGACAAAATTTACCTGCATTCTTTCCAGGGGCGGCGTCTCCAAAGCTTCTCTGACTCTTCGACTCAAGTCTGACTCCATCTTTTGACGCACCATCTCCCGCCATCTCGGCTCGTCTGCCAGAAAATCAATGAGTTGATAATGAGCAAATTAAACAGAAAATTGATTGCCATTTAAAGAGCTTGAATATTAATAAGCCCTGAAAATTTTTCACAGCAAACAAGAAAAAGCTGCTAAAGTTTTAAATAAGTGTACATATATGCATAAAATATATCGATAAAATGCAGTGTATGAGATTATGCCCTAGTTTTTTTTTTTTTTTTTTTGGAAAGTAAATTCCCATCAGACCTTTTGTGAAGTTTAGATATTTGTAAAAGACGTCACACTCACAGGGGGGAGGGAGGTCGGTAATTGTGTGACGGTGTGTGACGAGGGCGAGGGGGGGGGGGTTCAGATGGTGCGATGTCACACTTTTGCATTATCAAAAAGCGATGTTAGAAAACGAATTTTAGACGTTATTTTGCGTTTTAGAAAACTGTTTTAATAAATTGTAATAGGAATTGATTAAAATATTCTATTTTGACAGAGTTCAGATACGATTTTGGAAAAATATCGATGTTTTAAGAAAAATTCAACTGCATTTTTGAGGGGGGGGGGGTTGTAGGCTGAGGTGTGACGTCATCTTAGGGGGGGGGGGGTCTAGCTTTTTGTGACGATGTGTGACGGAGGAGAGGGGGGGGGGGGGGAGGTAAAACTCGTCAAAAAGGCGTGACGTCATGTATGGATGACCCCAAACATAGATTTTACAAACACACGTTATATTGAATTCGCTAGGTGTCTCTGTCAGTACAATTGTGTGAGATTTTCAATAGATCTTTATTATTCTACAATTAATATTTTCGTTTTATATTAAAGTTATAAAAAAAACTGCAGTTTGGCAATTGGAATACTAGTGTGCTGTTGTAGATAATCATAAAAATATCTATATTTCAACTGAAGGAGCTATGTTTTTGTTTATCTTAACGGCTATTGTTAGTTTGATAAAAGATTGTGTCGGTGTCTAAATAACATATAGAAAGCAGATTATGATTGGGAGGGGTGGGGGAGGTGGAGGGGTGGCGTGGTTGGGTGGTTTCTTATCTAATAGTCTAGAGTTAGACCCCCTGGCAAATGCTCTCGTTAACTTTGGGACAGCAATCTAGGAGAGTAAACTACACAACTTAAAAAAAAAGCAACTTCCAGCCCTTGTGATTGGAATTGAGCGGACACAAGCTACGGAAGAAAATCAGAAAGATAATCAGACTGAAGTCGGAGTTAACGGGCCATTAATATGGAGCATAACATGTTGACTCGTATTAGTAAATTTGTATTGGGGGAAATGTATCCAATATTTTAATTAATATCGAAGAAAAAGAAGAAGATAATGAATAAGAACACACGTATGCCAACCAGGAATTCTAAAGTTAGGATCCAGGACTTAGTCACACGGACTTTGGTAAGGAAGGGACAAGTCATTGTAATGGCTAGAGCAATACTCAGCAATGGCCTTGGTCCAATGGTATGGGGTACATGAAACAAAAGAAAATATCACATGGACTTGGATAAGAATGTGGAAATGTGATGTTTATGGTAGGGCAATATTCAGCTGTAGTATGGGGCACAGGAAGCAAAATTAAAATGTGACATGGACTTAAGGGGGAAGGCTCCGGTAAAAAAAACTTTTTTAATACTCGTTAGAAAACAGTTATTTATTTACAGCTTTATTAAGATACATCCGCATATGCATTTCCACTAAACAAAATTGGTGGAAAAATCTTGGTAACTATGACAACGGCGGCCATCTTGAAAAATTAACCCCTTCGTAGGTTTTCCACCATTCATAAAATATTACATTTTAAGCCCAATAAACAATCAATTCATAATCTTCTTCCATATTTTGGGGCACTCAGCTAAAAAATTTAAGTGCATATCTTAAAACTAATTTTTTATGAATTTTCAAAATTTGTGTCCGTTCAAAACACTTAACTTTGGGGAATTTTGGGGCATTAAAACTAGTGTTGTCATAGTTACCAAGATTTTTCCAACAATTTTTTTTAGTGGAAACGCATATGCGGATATGCGGATGTATCTTAATAAATCTGTAAAGAAATAACTGTTTTCTAACGAGTATTAAAAAGTTTTTTTTACAGGAGCCTTCCCCCTTAAAATCTACATAAGAAAGAGGAAATGCCATGTTTAAGACGAGAGCAATATTCACCTGATAGGCACGAGAAACTAAATGAAAGTGCTGGCTAAAGATGATGAGAAATATGAAGATGGTTAAATGCAAAACCCCCACTCATATGAGTTATAATGATTACACACCAATAAGCAAGGGTTAAAGTTTTATATCCGTATCCCATAATGCCGAGATGAAGGATCCACCTTGTAAATTGAGATATTAGGTTAGTGATATTACAAAAAGCGATACAAAAGATTCATATCAATGCTAATCCTAAAATAGAAACTCCAACTATGGTTTAAACCTTATATTGGACACTAACAGTAAACCTGATATTCAAAAACCTCTACACTCTCAGCACCCTTAATTTGGAAAAAGTCCATTATCGGAACAGTGGCGCAGCTAGGATTTTCGGGCCCTCATGCCAAAATTATTTGGGCCCTTTAAGCTGCAAATGAGTTAAACGTGGTCAGCGAAAAAAAAATCGACTAATGTTGACATTTAAAATTCGTCATAGAGGAAAAATGGCCCTTATCTTTCTAGGGCCCTTATGTTTTGCTTATACTTAATATGCAGTAGCTACTGCTACTACTACGCTGTATCGGACACTAGTAAGATGAATACGTCATATCTCAATGTAACATTGACTAAGACACTTGACATTAGTAAAATAAAAAGATAAGTTTAATAGGCTACTTGACATACAATTACAGAATATTTCAAGATGATGGTATTATTAGACGCTTAATTGAAACTTGCTTTCTATAAGGAGGAGAGGGGGGGGGTGTGAACTTCGTAATAACACAAGTAGATACAGACCAATACAAGTCGTTGATGTTAAGTGGCATCAAGTCAGTTTTTATATCATCCGTTTCTCTGTTCTCAGTTACAACATCACCGCCATACTTCCGCCTCGGTCTCACCATAAACATTTGACTGCCGCCTACATCCCGCTGCTACACATTTCCTTACTCTCGCTCACAACACACACGCTGTCACTTGTTGCCCTCGTTCATCCCATACAACAATAAACACATCAACACACCCGGACTTGCCACGCGCTTGTTATTGTTAAGGTGTACACACTAATCCACACCTTTCATACAAATCACATCATCACACCTCATAGGTGTACACACTAATCCACACCTTTCATACAAATCACATCATCACACCTCATAGGTGTATACACTCATTCACACCTCTCATACATATCACATCACCACACCTTATAGGTGTACATACTTATACACGCCTTTCATACATATCCCAGCACCGCACTTTATAGGTGTATACACTCATTCATGCCTCTCATACATATCATAACACACCTAAAGATGTAGTCACACACCTTTCATAAATATCACATCACCACACCTCTTATAGGTGTACACATACACCTTTCGTACATATCACATCACCACATATCATAAAGGTATGCACACTAATTCACACCTTTCAAACATATCACATCACCACACCTTATAGGTGTATACACTCATTCACACCTCTCATACATAACATATCAACACACCTAAAGATGTACACACTCACACACCTTTCGTACATATCATATTACCACATATCATAAAGGTATGCACACTAATCCACACCTTTTATAAAATATAACATTATCAAACCTCATAAAGGTGTACTCACTTATACACACCTTCCATAAATATCACATCACCAAACCTACCACAAGAAGAATATCTCAGAACTTCTAGATCTAGATGTGAAGTCCACAACCAGAACAAAATCACGTGGTAAAGTCCACTTTAAGAACGTTTACCACACTCTGACCAGCAACACGTAAGAAAACACAAGAAATCTCGACTCAATCTCAATGTGTATAACTTGCTCGATACAACATAGGTCAGAGTAACCCCAAAGAAAACGTTCCAGCCACACATACACACACGCACGGTACACACGTTCTCCACGACACACAAACACACACACACAGAAATAGCACACCAGCTGTTAACCCTTGCAGTGCCAGAAACGACAAACACAGCCATTATCAGCAGTCGTATTTAACCCTCCAAACGACAGCCAGTTTTTTGTTATCCTAATCCATAAATGGACCCGATTAATAATGTCGAGTCTAAACGCTCCAATAGAAGTTTACAACCTAGGAACCGCTACTCGAAGCTAAGGGGCATAACTGGAATCTATAGGGGCACACAACTCAAACTAAGAGACATAACTCTGAACTAAAGGCAACCTGAATTAATATTGATCCTCAGTATATAAAAAGGTTCGTGTCTTAATCCTCAATACAATTTAAAGGTGCGGTTGTCGATATATAGAAATACGTTTTAGAATGACAAATTAATACTTTGTGCTAAATTAAAAAATACTCTAAGCTGTATAGCGTGGCAATTAAGATGTGTAACAGCAACTACACAAGTTAATACATTTTCATAAATATACTCTATGTAACATCATAGTGGAGTGGAACCCCATGGAAAACGAAAGTAAGGGCGCCCAAGACAGAGAGGGAGGCGGAGTTTTCTTGAAGAACTAAAGACAGCAGGGATGTCGTGGGAGGCTTCAGAATCAACAGCCGGGGACAAAGTCTTTCTCTTCACAAAACAACGCTCAAACGCTTCAATATTTCACGCAATATGGAGAGGTTATGGTTGAGGCCCTATGTTCTATAAGGAACAAAGAGGATTAAGTCAAGTCTACATCATAATTACCCAGCTCATATAGGTGCCCGACTTAAGTAGACGATAGTGAAGACAACTTCGTCTAGCGGTGACCACACTATCCTATCATATGCTGAGGTGAAAATAAACCATAATGAAACAAAAGATTAAAACTCCTTCGCTAAATTGGCTTCTCTCTGTATGATTAATCTAGTCTACTAGGCTCTAACTGATACCGGGC